AAAAGCGCAGGCTCAGGGGTGATCTGGTGGCCACCTATAAGTTTATCAGGGGTGTCCACCAGGATCTGGGGGAATGTTTGTTCACCAGAGCGCCCCAAGGGATGACAAGGTTGAACGGTTATAAACTCCTGCAAGACCATTTCAGGATGGACATAAGGAAGAATTTCTTTACTGTCCAAGTCCCCAAGGTCTGGAATAGCTTGCCATCGGAGGTGGTTCAAGCACCCACATTGAACGCCTTCAAGAGAAATTTGGATGCTTATCTTGCTGGGATCCTGTGACCCCAGCTGACTTCCTGCCCCTTCGGGCAGGGGGCTGGACTCAATGATCTTCCAAGGTCCCTTCCAGCCCTAATGTCTATATGAAATATATGAAATATTATTAATATGAATTCTGTCTAGTATGGCTGTCAGACATACCTTTCTTGTTGCCAAGATGGTGTGCACCTCTTTCTGTCCTGGGTATAAGCTATCTTTGTAGTCAGATAAGATCAACCTAGCATGAGACCACACAATTAGCTCTGAGTGACCCAGAGCTGACCTTGCTATGTTAGTAAACCCGTTGCCTACATTTTAAAGGCTTCTTGCCTATGATGTTTCCTTACCAGTTACCACTTCTTGTTGCTGCTGCTTTTCTTAGCTCTGCTTTTTGACCTAACTTGACATAATTTGTACCGATTATAATGCAGCCTCCCTGCTTAAGGCCCATAAGAATCTATACATGTTGATGAGGCATACAATCATTTAAAGTTAAAAGTGTACTCAATCTTTGTATCCCAGGGCTCAAAAAGAGCAAAAATCGAGTGAGAATAACTGAGGTGGAGCATGCTGTGAAAAATAATATGAAGAGCAAAAGTCTCTTCTTTTATCTTTGTTCTCCTTTTATTTGGATGACAAATGTGTGTGGGGAGGGGGGGGGCACTGAACCCTGAAGACAGGATGGAGGTGATGGATGGTCTTGGTGTGACCCAAGGGCTGAACAAGTATTTTGCCTCAGTGTTCAAGGAGACTGAAGATCTGAATGAAGAAAATGTTTTGGACCCCAAATAGAAATTTGTGATGATGGATAACCTCCATCCCACGGTAGTGGAAGAATGGGTTCCTCTTCTACTGAATCGGTCAACTCATGGACAGTGCCCTATGGCTGGAAAATAACAAATGCAATGCCTAGATTTGAAAGAGGGGAAATATCCATCATTTGGATTTCAGGGCCTGGAATTCCCATGTTTCGGGGATTCTGCTGGTCACCAGCATCCATTAACCCAGAGGTTCCCAAAATTTTTCTTACTGTATACCCCTTTCCAGATTTACCAGCTGCCCGCATGCCCCTACCAGAATACATTTTATAATTTTAACCCCCTACAGGGCAACTATTGTAATGAAAATTAAGTCTGCCATGACTCAATTTCTCCCATGTACCCTCCAGAGATGTCTTGTACTCCCCCCCGCCCCCCCAGGATTACGCATACCACAGTTTGGGAACCTCTGCATCAACCTAATAACTTCCCTGCCACTCCACTGGCACAGCAATTGGTGGTGCCCATGTCCTTAAGCAGCAGTGCATTGTGGGCTTTTTCCCCATGCAATGCTTTGTGGGCATGGTGAGTGGGATGGAAAACCTGGTAGACCCTTGGGAGACTTGGTTTGTGCAAACAAAGGAGAAGGGTCTCAGTGGCCTGGGAGGTCCATTCCAGGCCTGTGCTCCTCAAAGGACTGTGGGCAGGCAGAGAAATAAGCAGCTTTGTTCCATCAGAGAGGTTCAGAAATCAGAATCCAACCCACAAGAGAAAATATAAAAAAAAAAAAAAAAAAAAAAATCTCATGCTATTTGGAAAGATCTCATGATTTCTTGGGGAGAAGGATTAGAGATAAGAGGGTTAATTTATGATTTTCTATCTGTCTTGATGGAACAAACTGCAGGCTGTCCTAGAAGGAAGCCTCCTTGTTCCTAACTTAATATTGCCTTGGCGTTTCTATACTTTGGGTTTCGTTACACATTCATTTTAGGCATCTCAGGGAGTTCTTCACCCTTGGCTTGCCCACACATTAAGATGCCTGAACTAGTTTTTTAAGCATCGTTTAGGCGTCTTAAAGTTGCATCACTCTGGAGCAGGTTTTTCTCTGATCTATGTTACCCAGGTCCTGTTCCACGAATGTGTGGCCAATCCGCAGAGAGAAGCCGTGCTCATTGCAGTCCTCCAGCATCCCAGGATGCAGTGTCCCTTTCCTTCACCCTCCTGTTCTGTGTGGATGACTTGCAGCCATTGCTCCTAATCAGGCCCCTGCTCACCAGCCCTGCAGTGGCAAGTCACAGCTGTGCAGGTTGGGGACAGTCAGATATTTTTAACCTGAATGTGTAACTACTCTAAACTCAACCGAAAACCAATCGACATTTGAGAAGCTTAAAGTACAACATGTAACAAGGCCCTTAATTATTGCTAGATTGCTGCTGACCAGAAGGTGGCAGCTTTATCCCACAATATAGTCCTGATGAGTGTATTAATAATGAAAAAAAGCATTAAAAAGACTGCATTACAAATACCATGTAAAGGGTCACCCCTTAATTTATGCGTCCTGACTTGCCTACGCAATCTCAAGGCCATTCATATAAAAACAAGCGGATAAGGGGCTTTTCCCCCTTTGAACAAATGTGACAGATCTGTGGCAGATGTAACAAAAGTGATATGAACTCCTTGCTGTGGGTTAGAGATTTGGGTGGCATCACACATTTCTGCTCCATGGTGACTTGGAGCTTGTCTCCCTCAAGACTCTTCACCACTTTTACCATAATGCTTTTGCTCCCCTTGCTTGCTCTCAGTTTTGTCAACTATCCCACTATCAACTCCCAAAAGCTCTCAGCTTTATCAACTATTCCAGGAATAGTTATTTCTGTATGGATGGAGGAAACACTGCACTGTCATAGAGGACTTTTATATTGGTACAGCCACGTCCACCTTAGTGTGTTTACTGCTAAACTGTAATGAAAAGAATAGCAGTTCCCTAATTAACATCACTATCTACTAGTAGCACAATTAGGGTGGAACAACCAGGACTGCCACCCCTGGGCACCAACTTGGTGGGGAGGGGGCAGGAAAAAAATAGTCTCACCGCAGCCACATGATCGTGTCAGTAGCATGATGGCAGCCAGAAGTTGCTGCTGTTGTAGAATCATAGAAAATTTGGGTTGGAAGAGACCTCAGGGGGTCACGTCTAGTCCAACCCCCTGCTCCAAGCAGGGTCATCCCCATCTAGTTCATCCCAGACAAAGCTTTCAGGTTTCAAAAACCTCCAAGGATGGAGATGCCACCACCTCTCTGGGTAACCTGTTCCTGTGTTTTACTACCCTCCTTGTGAGAGAGGTTTTTCTAATATCTCACCTCGACTTCCCTTGCTGCAACTTGAAGCCATTGCTCCTTATTGTCGTCTGCCACCGCTGAGCAGCACTGTCCCTCTGTTACAGATGCCCAGCTGTGTTGCTACACCTCTGTGACTATCCTACTGCAATTTTTAAGTGTGAATAGAGCTTTCAGCTCTTACTAAGTCAATTAAAGGAGTGAATGAAGCCAGACTAGAATAAAGGAAAGCCTGGTAGAGTCTCTTGGCAATGCCCCATGACTAGAGGGCAGGGAAGGATTAAAGAGTGGAGTTTTTAATAGAGATCTTTTGTGAAAGAAATCCATATCTCAAGACTGTGTGTATAATATGTGCAAGCCGATCTTTCTATCGTATGTGCTCACTGCCTGAATGGCACATGTTACACCATGGGGTAGTTCCCAGAACTCCCCCGGTGCACAGAGGGAAGATGCAAATTTTGTTCAGGGGTGAAGCCTTTTAGCTTTCCTGGATGGGAATGGTTAGACACTTCTTAACAGACCCACTTCTTGGTTCATATATTTTTCCTGACGGGAAAGCTGGAACAAAGTATTTAAAATGTTTTTTAAATTGTCATTCTGAAAAAAAATGGAAAATATTTCAATTGCCGAAGTTCAGGCCAAACAGAAATCCTGGTTCCCACGTGGCTCTAACATTATTCAACTAACGTTTTTCAACTAACACATTGTAGGAAAACTGAATCCCATCATCTAGCTTTTTACTTAAGAAAATACTTTTTTTTTCAGTGAAGATGCATCTGACTAGTTACTCTTTATTCTACCGCAGAAGGAAATATGTGAAGTTTTAGGAAAGGGCTGTCCACAATACCTAGGTCTCTCTCTGCGAAGCTACTGGACCTGCTCACATGAGTTAGCTCTGATGGATCATGTGAGTCTTTGCTACACTTACCTGAGCCTACAGAAAAGACTGTCTAGAAAGTCCAGATGTCTCTTCTGCAGGACCTCACCCAGCACTTGCTTACTCTTGAGCAAATGACACTCATCACACATTGAGCCCTTTTTTATTCAGAGAGTTATCTGAGACCTGACCCTGTTTGTAGCAATGGACTGAACTCTGTAAATATGGACAGATGTGCCAAGTAACACTGCCCGTTGGGTATCTGCAATCTGCTTATTTTGACAAATCCAGGTGCCTCTTAAGTGACTGGAGACTTCAATCACACCCTGATATTTGGAGGATACACTTTCTTATCAAGAGGAAGAAAGAGGTAAATGATGAGAGAGATGCTATGGCAGAAATGTTTGGACAAAGAATGGTTCTCTTCACAGATGTTGCCTTGGGTTCTCCAGAGCTGTCCAAATGCTCATGAATAACCAAGACAACTAACACCAGGGGCGGGCAATTTATTTTGGGTGGAGGGCCACTTACTGAGTTTTGGCAAGCCATCGAGGGCTGCATGACAGGCAGCCAGGGACAGATAAATATTAATTTTCTAAATTTTTTAGGGGCCCCATGGGCCAAATAGAATGGCCTGGCAGGCCGCACCCAGCCCACAGGCTGCATTTTTCCCACTCCTGACATACACCCATGAATAACCAACACTCTCCCGTGACTTACAGTGAAGGCAAAATAAAGATTTCTATTCCAAAAAAAAATCCCTTCATGAAGTAGAGACATTTTTTTTATTTTTTTCTGGAGTTCAGCTCTTGAGCTGCCCTCATTTAATAACTGCTGGTCACTGAACAAAACCCGTGGTCCTTGATTCCCTCTAGTCACTACTCATCTCGGAGATGCTCACAACTTTGCAAACATACTGGAAGCGGCGTCCTCATGTACTGCTTCAGTTCTTGAGGATACGCTGGTGCACAAGCATTTGGCGTCTCAGAGGCACCAAGTTGCTGAAGGCGATGCTTGTTTAGATGTATGAATTGCTGCTACAGACAGGGTCCCAGAGGAAAGCAGACAAATGCTGGACAGAAAGCATGGTTCCCTGGGGAGGGAAATCAAACAGAGAGCAGAGAAAATGATTGCAATGTGACAATGAGAGAGGAACAAGCACAGGGAGGTTTGCAGCAATGTGAATGGGGGTCTAATGCAGGAAAACTGGCTGGGAGAATGCATCTCCTTTCCAAATAGTCGGGACCTTGTTACATGTTACACTGTGAGCCGCACAAATGTTGGTCGGCTTAGTACTGGCCTTTTTTTACTGACTGAAGTAATTATTACCATATTCTCTGGTATACAACACGCCCCCAAAGCAGACGCACATCTTGTTTTGGGAAGATGGAATGAAGAAAAGAGGGTTTTGCATGTCACGGCCGACTGTTGGCTGCACAGAGCGGGGGAAGAGACTGCTCTTCCATGTTGCTCGCTCTCTCCTTGCAGCTAAAATGTTAAAAATGTCACAGCCCCTGCCAAATTTTTGGGTGATATGGGGTCAGTCACTCTCCAGTCTGTGCTGGGCAGTGGAAGCTCCTGGTGTGGGGTGGTGGGAAGGAGGAAGGAACTGCAGTGAGCCATGGGAACTGCAAAACACATACTTGGGTCTCGGACACTGCTGAGCAAGTGCATTTCTTAGCCAGGGAGAGAGGTGTTCATAGGTTTTTGTATTGCCACCGTCAGAATTTGCATTCTCTTCTCCTGATATCACTTTCCCCCAACTTCTGGCGGGGTGACAAAGCACCCAGAAGTCACAGCGGGATTGTAGCGGGGCGGGCAGGACAAGGGCTATTCTGTTGGGCAGCCACACTGCCTGCACTCTCCTGGAAACAAGTGAATCCTGCTTAACTACCTAGTTTCCATGGTCTCCGTGAAGTCTCCTTAAGAGCAGGTGTATCCCGTTCTGGGACTTGAGGATGAGCTGCGGCATTGGCTCGGGGGGCTTGGCCGGGTCGGGGAAGAGATCAAAGCGGAGCAGGGTCAGGGCGAGAGCCACTTTCATCTCGTTCATGGCAAACTGCTGCCCGATGCAGTTCCTGGGGAGAGGCAGGGGAAAGCCAATGAGTATGAGCTGAGCTCTCGCTTTTGGGGGAGCACCGTCCTCCTCAAAGATCCCCCATGTTTGCACACATTTTTTCAACAAGCTGTACCATCCTCCGGTGCTCTTCGGGGCAGGAAGCTTTCTTATTATGTGCATCTTCAGTGTCTGTCATAGGGGGTCATTTTTGGGGGGACTTTAAAGGTTACTGTAAAATAAAAACCAATTGGGCTTATCTAGTCGCACTTTACTCATGTTTCTCCCATGACACATCAGCCATGACAGCCATTCTCTAGTGCACAGTAACTTCACAAGATAGTTTGGGAGCAATGGAAACTTCAGGGAAACAGCACAAAACAAGAGCTGTTGGCACCAAATACCAATTAGTTGTTGTGCCAAAGTACCACCAGGTCTTCACAGACAAAGGGGAGATTTTTTCCAGACAGAAATAAGAAGAACCTAACTTATCATGGTGTCTAACTGCCATGTACCACATGGAAAATGAGCTGTGAAAATACCGGATTTGTTTCCATTTAAAAAAAAAAAAACGTCTGGTCCAACCTAAACACAATGTTTTCTCCTTTGTTTCGTATCCACAGAAAAAAATCCCCAGAGTGGTTTTGGGGCTGTCAAAATGATACTCTGGCCACACAACAAGGGAAAAAAGGCTTCTTTAGAGTTAGGGTTAGCTTATGCTTTTTAAACCCTTCAAACAATTAAGCTAATTTCCAAGCCGAGGTGTCCTCTTAAATTTCAGTTAGAAAATGATTAAATTAACTATTTAGACTTCTTTTTTTTTTTTTTTCTTCTGAAACCATTTGGAAAATTGTATCTGAACTTGGGTCTCTAGACCACATTCCTTAGGAAATTTCCTATTTACTGAAGAAAATTCATCCAGCTCTACATGGACTTTCTCCCCACTACAAGTGATCAAGGCCTTGGTATCAAGCCTCTCTCAGATGACTGTGGCATGTCAACCACAATCTCTAGGAGATTTACTTCTTCAGGAGAGGCCTCAGGAGGCATTGGGAAGCCAATGTAATACAGACCACAGGGTCCATACACTAAGAAGGAAACTTAAATTGGTGGGGTCCATTTTGGTAGCCCCATTGGCAGCTGGAACAGCATAAAGCTAACACAATCATGAAAGGTAATTATTAACAAAATACTGGGAGGTAATGTTTTGAATCATTTCTATCTAGAGAGAATGGATGAACTCTTCCCCACCTGGATCCAGCTGCAAAGGGCAGGAACGCATGTGAATGCCTCTGGGAGGAGTTCTCCGGAGAAAACCTCATGGGGTCAAACACCTGCAATGAGAGAATACAAAGGCCTGTTTCAAAGGGTTTTAATCATTAAACTTGCTTGGTTTGATGCCAGCAAGAAGCTCGGCAAGTTTACAAATGTATCTAGGGTGCGTTCCATGACATTTTTTCTGGGGGGGCTTATGCAGAAGATGTAAGGTCAGATTCTGGCCAGTGTTACATGGACTTCTGTTGCTGCATGCCCTTCAAGGCCAGAGCTCCAGAATGGGCCTTAGAGACCATTACAGTGCAAAGGGACTGTGATCTCTTTTTGAACAGGGGATGCGATGTCTTGGCTGGAGAGGTGAACTAACCCTGTTGGGTAGAGAGTTCAATCCAGCTTCCCTTGTGGCCCTTTCTTCCCTTCGTGCCTCAATAATAAGTCCTTTTGCTGGCTCCAGAAAGTTATTTGAATGTTCAATTCCCCCTTGTGTAGGAAAATCCCATCCGCTCGGCCAGACAAAGGAAGGAGATGGGCAGTGGCTGGTGTAACCAAGAGCTCAACTTTGCACACTTGTCCAACAAGACTGGATGATTATTACACTAGAGGTAAGGTTACTATGGGCAGAATCAAACCAGGAATACCCTCACTGCACCATCTCAGCAACCTCATCTTTGGAAGGTCTATTGCACCTTACATCTGGACCGATACCTCTTCAGCAAGATGCAAAACGTCCCTGTTTAGGTCCAAATGATCTCAGTAAGAAGTATTTTACTTAAGGAAGTACATGCCAGGGCCAGGATTGGTTTAATAGAATAACAGAAAATGAGGGTGGGAGGGGACCTCAGGAGGTCACCTCTAGTCCAACCCCCTGCTCCAAGCAGCATCACCCCCAACTAGATCATCCCAGCCAAGGCTTGGTCTAGCCAGATCTTAAAAACCTCCAAGGATGGAGAGTCCACAACCTCTCTGGGTAACTTGTTCCAGTGCTTCACCACCCTCCTCATGAGAGAGATTTTCCTAATATCCAAAATCAACTTTCCTTGCTGCAACATAAGCCCATTGCTCCTTGTCCTGTCATCTGTCCCCACTGAGAACAGTCCAGCTCCATCCTCTTTGAAACCACCCTTCATGGAGCTGAAGGCTCCTGTTAGATCCCCTCTTGGTCTTCTCTTCTGCAGACTAAATAATCCCAGTTCCATCAGCCTCCTTTGTGAGTTATATGCCCCAGCCCCTGAACCATTTTTGTTGCCTTCCACTAATTTATTCACATCCTTTCTGTAGTGGGGGGTGCAAAACGTGACACGGGACTCCAGATGTAGCCTCCCCAGTGCTGAATAGAGGGGGATAATCACTTGCCTTGACCTGCTGGTAACGCTCTTATTAATGCAGCCCAGAATGCCATTAGCCTTTTTAGCATCAAGGGTACACTGCTTCCTCCTATTTGGCTTATTATCCACTGTATCCCCCCAGGTCCTTTTCTGCTTCCTGCTATCCTGAAACCCAGCTCTTTGCCTGATCAGCCAGACCACCTGTCTCTCCAAAGTACCTCTGGATCTTTCCACACGCTTCGGTTCCAATGGAGAGCATAAATGTTCACTGAAACCAGAGAGTCTGTAAGAAAAATGCTTGTGTGATCACAGGGCAAACCTCTATTATATAGGACAATACAGCATCTTATTAAAGGCCCATTATCTTCTTAGCCTGAATACCTGGCACCTGGGTAGTTCTGAGTCCTTTTTTTGGGTCACTTGCTACTTATTCCTGGAAGGGATTAGTGGAAGAATGAGCTGAATTTCTTTCCTAACTCATGTCTCACTAGTAAAACTGTGTAAAGTTCTGATGGCAGAGTCTATAGTACTGTTGTAAACCGTGCTTCTAGATTCATTTTCAAATCCATTTGGAAATGTTTACTTGTCACTTGAACCGGTGCAAGCACAATGAAATTCAGCAATCAGAGAGAAAATGAGCTTAAAACTCTACAATGCTGACCACCAATCTAATGACGGTTATATCTTGGGGTCAAATTTTGTGCAACTTCCACAATCATTCACTTATATCGTGCCACTCAACTTCACAAAGTGACAGATCCATTCCTTCCATGTTATTTCAATTTGTTGCATCCGATTTATTAAATTTGCACTCAACAGTTGTTCGTAGGGGTCCCATGTCTTTAGCTTTCCCTAGTGCACATCTTGCAATACAGTATAGTCCATGAGCAAATGACTGGTAGAGTTTGATTACTCTGTTTCTATGGAGGAACAGCTAGGAGCTGAGTTAGAGTACCCGATTGCTGGTGAAGAATGGTAAACTTGAGAGCCAAACACTAACCCCGGGGCAGCAAACTCCAGTTCAAGGTGAGAAACTCAACTGCCCCTGATAAACCTTTTACTAGTACAGCTGGTGGAGGAATGGGTAACTTGTGAGTGAGCATTAGGATCACCAGGAAGAAGAGACAATGAGGAAGATTAGGGGCACAAACCTAAGGAAAAGAAAGAGCTGTGACCTGTTCCTTCCCTAAGGGCAGCTCTGTCTTGCGCACTGCCATCTAGCTTGGCGAACAGAGAGCAGAAAACACACCACTGCTGTCAGCAACCTCAATTTGGGCAAGTTCTCTGCTCTTTTCATGGAGGCTCCTAGATACAGAGCTCAAAGACGCATACAGGGGACAGGGCAGCAGGTCCTAGGAGCAAGCACCGGGTAGTGAAATTTAAGCCCCAGGCTTGTGTTACTTTGTCTTCCAATTTGGGCTGTCTTGGGTTTGGAGCTATTCCCATAGCATTTTCTATCTGGCAGAATTAGACCCATGTGTCCTTAGCAGTCTCCTTGCACCTTGTTGAAGGAATTGAAGAAACATCTAGCCCTTCACTTAGACTTAGAGGAAGCAGTATCAAAACCAGTAGCAGACAGAAGAAACAACTGGAGAATTTAGCGAAATTAAAAGGAGTGAGAAGACGTGGATACGAGGAAGTGAGGGCTTGAATTGTGGCTGACTTCACAGCCCTTTGCATTTAAGTCCTCTTTAATTGCTATCCCCACAAGGTTTTCTATATCAACATAGACAATGAGTCTACCAGTCCTACCTTGAGGTCCATAGCCAAGTAACTTTGTGCTGTGATTGTCAGCTCAGTCCTAGCATTCAATCAAATAATGTCACCTATTTTTGCTTCCTTTTTTATTACATAATTGTATGCAAGGAAACATTTCCATATGACTTTTGAACATGCACTAGCTCCTGGTAAGGGTCTGTATATTGTCTAGCAAATAAGGATCCTCAATAAGGATTCATTGGTACCTCTGGGTCCAAACATAGTAGAAACCACCAACAGCAGAAGTAGCAGCAGCAGCAGCTAGGGTGTTCAAAGGCATTTAAGGGCAGAAAGAGTTTCATTATAAGTTAAAATGGAGACATGGCAAGAATAGGTGCTTTTATTTTTGCCTAGGGGAGGGGCTAAGATGATGGACATGTGGAAAGATGTATGCATTTCAAATGACAGCCTTCTTCCCAAGGGCCCCCACATACCCCTAAGCCCTCAGGCCCCCACATACTCGGCACCTCTGATGGCAAAACACATGAACACTAGAAGATACTCAGTGAGATCTTCCCCTGAAATAACACCGGACAGGCCTCTGTCTTTGAAACGTGCTGCATTCAGGAGTAAAATATCATTTTAGTGGGTGTTTTAGGGATGTGACACAACTTAGAATTTGGCTTTCAAGTAGAAAATGAGCACACTAACCTTTTGGCAAGCTCCGGCCATCAATAAATGTGATGGACTTACTGAGCTGTCGCCACACCGCAGGGACTGGTGAGTACAAGCGCATGCTCTCCTTGATGCACATGGTGGTGTAGTTCATCTTACTAAGGTCCTCCCTGAAAATAGTCAAAGGTGGAGACTGAAAATGAGCGAGGGCCTTTTCCATAGAATAAATGCCAGCAGCATCTGTGCCTCATACTGACAGGCCACATATACTTATTCATATTTAAAGATGGAGAGAGTAAACTTGTGACTAAAGCTTAACACTGGGTTATTAGTTATGGATTTTATTTTCACCTCGGATACAGATGTCCTGTCAGAACTTGAGGACCTTGCTTAGGGTAGGTCTATCAGGTATTTAAGATCAACACTGATGGCTACCTCAATTGTTCCTGGACTGACCTGTCCTAGGCTACATGATTTTGCTGCAACAAGGTCAGGATCAACTGGGCCATAGGTGGTCACTCAATGAATTAATTTATTGAGTTAATTCATTGAGTGACCACGTATGGCCCAATTGATCCTAACCTTGTTGCAGCAAAATCATGTAGCTTGGGGTCACACCAGGTATCCGTCAAGGTCCGGGTCTCCTAGCCAAGGGTTATAGTAGTATTGTGGTCTGGGAGGAAGATGGATCAGAGCCCAACAGTGCAGGGGCAGGGACTGCAATGAGGTTGGGATCAGGCAGGAGCAAGACAGAAGTCCAAGGAGTACATGCACAGGCAATGTTGCTGGGACAAATCCCACAGGAAGTAGGAGGGGGTTTATAGCCACCTTATCAGGGGTTTGCAGTGCCTGTAGGTTCCCCTGGTCACCTGACTCCTTAATATCCTTATGGGAGGGACCTGGCTGGTGTGTGACCAGCTGTGTGGTGGCACTGAAGATCCAGCCTCTGTCTCCTGGCCGCCTCCACCCGGGTTTGAATCCCTGTGGTTGTAACCGAGAGAGCCCCAGACACCAGCTGTGAGCATCCATCCACACACCAGTTATGCCATCTTCATAGCTTACTCTGATAGAAAGCAGAGTACAGAAGAGCAGGAAGTCAGGTGCTGGCAGTCTTCCTGTGTCCTTGGGCTTTAGGCCATGGGACTTCTGAACCCGTAGGAGACGAGTAGGCTACCCGAGGTGGGATGGATTGTTGCTGAGGTTTGGGTCAGAGGGCAGACCTAGGAATGGCCTTTAGGTAGCAACATGGACAAACCCTTCATCTCTTGATTTCCCCACCTGCAAGTTCTCTGACGCTTTCAGCCACGTGTTCTGCATTTCTGCAACACCTATACAATCGGCCCTGGTCTGTGACTAAAGCTTGTCGGTATTACCACAACACGAATAAAGAAAAAGCTGTTTCATGTGGGCGTGTTTAAAGCTCTTGAATCCAAAAGCTTCTAGCAATGCCAGCTCTGACACTGGCATTACATTTTGCAAGAGAGAATTTCTGATCCTTTCCCACCCTCCCAACTTCATGTCCAACTCTAAGGGCCGGTTCACTGAGAGCCAAACTCGATCCTCTGAAATGAACAGGCCTAAAACCAAAAGGGTGTTTGGATCCTATTCACAATCTCGTTGTCACTCGAGCTGCTATTTTTTAAATGCAGAACTAAAGAAATCAACCTTCCTTTTTTTCATTCTTAGATGAAATACTTTGCAAAGAATCGAAAGGGAAGTGATAGGAAAGCAATGAGGTGATATCTTACCACTGAACTGTGTCCCGGTCTCCCAGAATCTCCTGGATCTCTTTTCTGCATCTCTGCTGGTGCTCTGGATACCGGGCCATGCAGTACAACAGCCAGGAGATCCCGCTGGCTGTGGTATCGTGGCCTTCAAACATGAAAGTGTCCACCTCGGCACGTACATCCTCATCGGATAGTCCATCACCATTTTCATCCTTTTGAAGAAGGGAGATTAATCAAGTCCAAAAGAAAGATTGTGTGTGAGGTCTTTTCTTTGGGGCAGAAGCTGAATTCATTTTGGTCACTGGTGAAATGAATGGGCCTAGGCCTGATTTTTTTCTTTCTTTTATGTCCAGGTAGCTACACTGAAAGCAGAGGAGCAAATGTGGGGTAGGTGAGGTCAGAGCCAGGTCCAATGGGAATTAAAGCAAGCACACCACTTCTGCTGCCAATGAGGTTGCAGACAGGCTTTGATCCTGGGTATGCAGCAACAGAATATCAGCTACAAACCTTGTTATGCTTTCCTCTACACTAAGAACAGCTATATACCTTCATTACTTTTATTTTAAATTACAAGGTAAAAGAATAAAACCAAACAGAAAAGAATAAAATAGACCCCTAGAAAGAGAAAGAGAGAGCGTAGAGCATGTGTCAGCCCTTTAAGAGACTACACTCAACCGAGCACACAATGGTAGCTGCCTCTTGCATGTCTGCGGACATCTCTATAAGCAAAGGTGAACTAGACAGGAAATAAAAATCAATTAATTAATTACACAATAGTCAACATCATCTGTCCGTACAATACAGTATTCTGAGAGTCTTATCTTTCCATTAATATCCAGTGTTGCCAACTCTCTTGATTTTTGGCATCGTTCTTAAAGTCTACACTTCGGGAATGTGAAAAAATGAGCTATTTCTTATATATATTTAATAATACTGAATAGCTGATTTCCTTATTCCTGTGCATATTAACATATTCCATGAAAATGGCTTTGTGGGGTTGGAAGAATACATTTTACCCCCAAAGCAACTGATCTCCCAAACGCTCCATATCGGACGTTCTCTTCCAACCTTTTCCTCATCCCTTTCAACCAACCGATTAGCCAAAAATAGTAGGAAGAAAGAACCAAGCAGGGAGGAATCTCTTATCAAGAATAGTCTGGGGTGATGACAGGAGGTGAGGCATGGGCGGGCTACTTGTTTTTGCATGGGCTTATTTCAAATACTCACCTTGGTACAGAGAAGAATATCAAGAAAATCCAAGTATCTCTTCTTCTGGATCTTTTCAACCTCTCTCTCATCTTGAAGCAACTTCTTTCTCTCACTTATTATTTTGTCTGTTTAAAAAAGTAGAAAATACTTTAGCAGGAAGTGCTGAGAGCCCATCCATCTGGGGCTACGTTGTTATGCAGTCTGTCAATTCTGGGTGAGAATTTGAGGCACCTTAATTTAATGTATAAACAGTGGGGAGTATGTATCTCAAGATCCCTCTTTGTCCTAGTCCACAAAAGACATGAATTTTTACAAGCCACCAGCTGGGAGGTCTTAGTGTTTAGACCCAAATGCCCATTCTTATAGATCTGGAGACTCCTTGGTTTAATCACTTTCAGGACACATAAAGCAGTGCTTCTCAACCTTTTAAGTGACAAATGAATTGTTCTACAAATCAGGGATTGGGCTGGACTTTTTGCTAGAGAAGATGATTCTGGCCCCTGGGCCGCATTTTGCCCACCCCTGGGTTAGACATTGTCTCCCTGCAAATCACACAAAGTGGTAATGAAGGTATACCTCTGTTCGTTGTAAACCCGAAGGCCAGATAACTGGGATCATAGCGATGTGCTTTATGAACCAGTGAAGATTTTGTGCTTCCACTACCGAGGCTTGATTTTTTTCGAAACATGTTCCTCTGGCTCCAACATTTGTTGCCCTTTGTCTGGGAACCTACCTTCTAAATCTGAAGTCTTTCTTTTACAAGAAAACAATCCATTTTAACACCCTCATAAGCAGTAAAATTAAAAGTGTGACACAAGCCCACTTAAATTTAAACACTTAAAGTGGACACTACAGCAGACAGGCACATGCTTAAACTCTGAGAAACACAGTCTTTCTCCCCTTTACCGATGGAAGACTCTATTTCTCATAAAGCAGGAGACTTCTCATGCAGAAAAGCTGGCAAGCAGGTGCAGGGATGATGAATGATGAAAGTATCTTATTTTAGAAAAATATACAGGTTTCCCTCCCTTGACTTATGCAGGTTCGGTACTTGTGAATTCGCTCTTATGCAATGACCATTTTTACACCCCAAATTTATGTGCAAGGTAAATTCACTATTATATGATGAGTCCCAGGGCTCTGCTTGTCCCCGCTCACCCCAGCCCCTGGGCGGCACCTGCTGCGGTGCAGATAGGTGGTGTCAGCTGCTTCCAGGGCTGCTGCAGCAGGGGTTGGGGTGTTGGGGAGAAGCAGAGGCCCGTGGCACAGTGAGGTAAGTCTGTAGGGCAGGGGTCAGCAACCCCTGGGGCATGTGTGCTGAGCATGGCACATGAGGCCACTTTGCTCGGCATGCCACTGCCAGCCCAGGCTCTAGGCAGGTGCTGCCAGCCATGAAGCCCAGGCTGCTCCCAGCAGGCAGCTGGGAGGCTGCAAGCCCTGCTGCAAGCAGCCCCGGCTCCGTGGCCGGGGCAGCAGTTATCCAGAGCCTGGGCTGGCTGCAGCCAGGAGGCTGCAAAGAGCTCCTCCAGGCTCCAGCATTGTCTGGAGCGGACGGTGGAGGGGCTCTGAAATGCATGTGTAGCTACCGCCAGTATGGAGCTGCTGCCGGGGCTATGGAGCCTGGTGCAGCCATTTTCAGCCTGCCTGCTGCAGCTGCTCAGAGCCTAGGCTGGCTACAGGCAGGGGCTGGTGGTAGCACCGGGCTTTTCCCCATGTTTGCTGGGGGGGGGGGGCAGGAAGCAGTTCCCCTCCCCACCCCACCCCCCATCATCGTAGCCCATCCCAAGCACCAGGAAGAGCCCGGTGCCACCGCCAGCCCTCCTGGTGCAGTGAATGGGGCCTTGGGTGGGCTGGGTCATGGGGCAATCCCTACAGTGCAGGAGGGAGTGGGACAGCACCCTGCCCCTCCTGCACTCCCTTCTGCACTGTCGGGGCAGTCCGCCTGCCTCACCTCAAAGTCTAGGCAGGATAAAGAAACTTAGATACCCGCACACTGCCCGCTGACAGGCAGGTGTGTGCCCACCCTCCTCCTCCTCCTCCAGCATCCTGTGGCCGGCTTGTGGGGGGTGGGGTGGACGTGAACCCGGCAGTGGCAGGGGGAGAGGTGGCGCCCCCTTGCTGCAGGGATTTGCAGTGCCTGCGTACCCTCTGCCTATGTCTCGCGTACCCCCATGGGTACATGTACCACAGGTTGAGAAGCTATGCATTAAAGCTCATTAACTTGTGCTAAGTGCCCTCTAAGCATCTCAACGTTATGTTACTTCAGGTAAGGGTTAACTCTGGGCTGTGCTACTTAACTTGTGTTAAGGTATCTTCATCCACTCCACAGGGATAAAATGAGCAATTTTCAATCCTCCAGCATCCCAGGATGCTCTGCTCCTAGCTCCCCTTCCTCCCTTCCTGCCCCCCCCCCCCCCCCCCACAAGAGCAGGGATGGAGCCCAGGTGTCCAGGCCACCTCTATATGCATAGAATCACAGACAATGAGGGCTGGAAGGGCAAGAGGTCACCTCCAGTCCAACCTCCTGCTCAAAGCAGGACCAGCCCCAGCTACATCATCCCAGACAAGGCTTTGTCTAGCTGGGTTTTGAAAACCTCCAAGGATGGAGCTTCCACCACCACTCTAGGTAACCTGGTCCAGTGTTTTAGTACCCTCCTCGTGAGAAAATTCTTCCTAATATCTAACCTAAACTTCCCTTGCTGCAACTTGAGCCTATTGCTTCTTGTTCTGTCATCTGCCACCAGTGAAAGCAGTCTAGAGAAAAGGAGACTGAAGCGGGGATTTGATAGCAGCCTTCAAGTACCTGATTGGGGGTTCAAAAAAGGATGGAGCTGGACCAAGTAAGACCAGAGGCCTCAGTCTTTCCTCAAATCATGTCCCCCAACCCTCTCACTTGGTTCAGGCTTTAGCTGTCTTCGCTTTTCACCTACCTGTCAGTAGCCCACAAAGGTGTTCACCTTTAATGGGAAGTTGGGTTGTTCTTGCTGCAGCTGAGGTTCATTGCATGCAGCCTTCATCTCAGCTGCTTATCCCACACCCAGCAGGCTAGCCAGCTTTGTCTCTGCCTGTTTTCAGTAACAGGAGCCTCTGGCTCCCTGTTATGCAACCTTGACCTTGCACCTGCTCACAGCACATTGTAACCTTAACAGCGCTTTCCATTCCATATGGTCTAAATGGGTGCATCTACACGTGCTCATTTACTGCTCAGTAACTGAAATTACTGCACAGTATGGGTGCACATCTACACACGTATGCCCATACTGTGCAGTAAATATGGTGACTTACACCAACTTGAGTGTAAATTTGGCACCTGCATCATGCATGCATCAAGTTTATGCCCGATTGGTTACTGTACAGTAACACCCGTGTAGACACCTCATTGCACAGTAACACTGTGTGTGTGGACTGACTTGGGACTAACTTTAGCTTTAATGCCTTCATGTGTAGATGTCAGTTTATTTCCCCTTACTGAGCAGTAATTTAAGCTGGCATAAATGCGCATGTAGACACGCGCAGTGTAATGTGTAACTTCACCCTTACTGTGGCAAACAGACATTTATTTCCGGCACAAATCCATTGAGCAAAAGGTGAGATCTTTTAGTATCAGTTCCTGCTATAGACTGTGAAAAACTTGAGAGAAAGCAGAATACGAAAGTATTTCAAATGTATGAGAATTGTCTTCTAATGATCAAGCAGTACTGCAGAGAGGTTAACCAGCTTACTAAAGGCCCCACGGTAAATCCGTGGAAAAGAGCAGAAACCAGAGCAAACTTGATCCTTGATGTACTTCCACTGGAGTGGAACGGAGTTGAATTTGGCTCTAGATCTTTTGAACCCCAGTTTTTGTCTGACCCACAAAGCCAAAGCAGGAAAAAGTTTCGCTGCTGTTTTATATTCATCAGGTTCCTCCAGCGATGCATCAGTTTTCTGTGGTACAAATGTTAATTTGACCAACTAAGGCAATATCTTTCAATCAAGAGCAGATGGAAAGGAGGGCCATGGGAAATACCTGTATGGAGATGTGCTAGTCTGCAGGCCTCATGAAAACGACGTCCCTGGGCACTGATTCGATAGAGGAAATCACTGTGATAGAAGGAAAAGCGGAATCTTTGGAATACCAAGTAGGTCAAGTCATACACAGCTCGGACGTAATAATCCAGGTCGCTGCAAGAAAGGCAGAATTGGATAACATTTCAGTGAGGTGAATATGGGCATGAGGAGCGGGAAGATTTAGATCGGGATTTGAAAGAACCTGATACAAACTTGTCAACCTGGCAGTTGCTACTACAACTGAAGGCGCATTTCATGAGGCTGTCCAAAGTCATCAAACTGACATGCTCAAAGAGCTCCACTGACTTCTTCTGCGTGATCAGCTGTTCCCATTTGTCCTAAAGGAAAAGATGGAGTTAAGGATTGACACGATTCTACAATGGTCTTTGTTAAGTAATAAAATCCCATTCTTGAGAGGTCTTGAGTTACCTTCCTTGCCTTTCCTATCTATACCCTGCCAGATTCACATTAGTAATTATATGCTGGCATGCAAGCAAAGAATCTGATCTAAAACGTACGCTGCTGACTGGGATTAGTATTTCCTTGTGAAATCAGATTACAGAATTCTTTTTTTAGAAATGGAGATGGGGCTGAACTTAAACCCTGACTTCCCCTTCTCTAGGCTTTTGGTATAGATTAGATCTATATTTGCAGGTAGACTTAATAGCTTTGGGCCTAAAGCGAAAACCCAAATGCAAACTTCTGGCAACATGGATAGATTTGGAGCCAAGTTTATAAGGGTCCATGATATAGTATGATGATTTCAACACTGAATAGAAATTGATCCATATAGTATACTTTTCCCCTTTATTTTTGGGAAATGGGTCAAAATTTGGCAGGAAGACTGGAGTGGGAGAGCCAAATAACTTTACTGACTGTTGGGCTAATAGATTTTCTTTAGTGCCTATTACCCCAGGTATCTCTAAATCAGTGGTGCTTAACCATTCACTCTGTGGGCTGGTTGGGCAGTACCACGTCCTCCTGCAGGTCTGATCTCCAGTGCATAGAGTGGGCACAGCAGGGACCCAATCCAGGCTTGGCCAGGACTTGATCCAGCTACATGACAACAGCCTAGCCCAGGCCCAGCCCAATCCAACCACGCGGCACTTAGAAATTTGGCAGGGGAGGAGGAGTGGCTGTGTTAATTGTTACTTCTACCCCACTGCCCAATTTCCTGACCCATACAGCCCTACAAGCTGGATGCCATGGCTCTGACAGCCAGATTTGGTCCATAGGCCAGGGGTTGAGTACCCCTGCTCTAAAGCACACAAGAAACTGCTGGACATCAAGATGTCCTAACTTTGACTCATCTTATCTGATGTCATAGTCAATGATACTCTGATATACACCTGTCAATATAAATTGATATTGAACGCTTGTGTCCTTGTGGCACATCAGCTATGGTTCCAGTTGAGAAACCCAGATGTTTCTATTCTCTCCTCAATCAGTTGTTACTGAATGACTTGTTTTGGTGCTTTATCTCATTTGCTGATGGGGGAAACCAACTCTGGGAAGTTAAGGTTTTTGCTAATTAAGAGGCAAGAGAGAACTGTTATAACTGAGCACTTAGATCATGGACAGTGTACTCAGTGGAACTACATCATGGGTAAATTTGGCTGAGGCTATATCATCATCATCATCATCAGGGACAGCAAACTACAAATTGATGGTTTCCATTTAAGGTATTTTGAGATGGAAGAAACCTCCCAAAGGCTGGCCTAGAAATTGAGTACGCTACATATCCTTGATAACAGTGTATATACTTCTTGGTTTGTTTGTTTGTTTTGTCAATTCAGCCTTACCTCTACTCTTCTTTCTCAGTGCTTATGTTGTTGGCTCTGATGTGCTAGGTTCTTGTAATCTAAGTGTACTTGTTTTTTCAACGGGTCAGTCTACTCCATGGATTTATTTTCTATGTTCACCGCTACTGGTCCAAGAAACGGTATTCTATTGTTGTCCATTTTGCCAGATGAAGCATAAGATGTTGGACCAAACCCTCCGCTGGTGTAAGCTATTGTAGCTCCACTGACTTCACAAACCCCTTGATGAATCACACCGGGGAGGAGCTGGGTCTTTTAATCACAGGGCAGTAGTACACTTCTGGGAAGGAAGATCTATGAAACTTCTCACTCCAATCTCCTCCAGTCCTTCAGTCCCAGTTATTGTTCTAGCTGTGTAGCTAGAACGATAGCTCCAGTAACAATAGTGGGACAATAACTCAACAGAACAATATAATAGCTCTGGTAACAGTAGCTCTAGTAACAATAGGTAGACCTGTTGTTTTAGCTGGAACACTAGTTTTACCTCTGTAGCTAGAACAAGAGTAGTAGCCACAATAGTAACCATTCCTACCAGCATCACTTTGGTAGAATCGGAAATCAATGTCACATAAGGTTTCAACACATTGTAGTGAAATGCTGGAGTCAACATCCTCCTGTGTTTGAACCACTTTGGCCCATCTAAGACCAATAATCCCTTTCCTGGAGGAACAGAAAGAATAAAGAGCCAGTCAGGTACTTCTCTGTACTATAAGTTTCTATTATTAATATTGATAGCATCAGCAGTATTGTTAATCCCCTTGTGTAAAATTGTTATATCCTTTAGCCAGAACTCAAAAAGGGAAATTGGTCACAAATATTTTTTTAAGCTATTCTATTTCAGAGAAGGTAAAACTCCCCAAATATTTAGTTTCCTTTTCTTTTATTTGCCTATTTTTGTTTGTTTGTGGCTTTGTTCAGGTCCACAATTTTCTAAATAATATCAAAACTCTATCAAGGAGTGATTTCTTAACCTGAGCTGTTTCTTATCCTAGGGTTTTGGTCAAGCTGTCTTTTTTGTTTCCCCCTTTTCTTCAATACACATCCACTGAAGATATAATTGTGCTAACCAAATAATTCCTGTCAACCTCATTGGACTCCAGGGTGGGTGCAATGGCGTCACCAAGGGAAAAGCTGGAAAACACTGAAGCCTGAACATTATGTAAATGTGGTAAATAGCACATTTACATTGCACAGTCTGGAGTCTGAATTGGCTGTGAAATCTCAGATATAAGGTGCTGTTGGAACAGGATTTTGGATTCTGGAACAGGCTCCCCAGAGAGGTGGTGCAGTCTCCATCTTTGGAGGTTTTTAAGACTTGGGTAGACAAAGCCTTGGCTGGGATGATGTAGTTGGGGCTGGTCGTGCTTAGAGCAGGGGTTGGACTAAATGTGACCTCTTGAGGTCCTTTTAAACCCTAATGTTCTATGATTAATTAGAGGTCTGGCCTAATCTACATATTAACCCCTGTGTTTAACATGTCTCCCCCAATAGCTTTATATTGGAAAATCATCTTTTCTAGGTTTATAATAGGAAGGACCCAAAAAAAGAAACTATGTTCAAGACAAAAATCACATCAAATATGTGGTATGCCATAAACCAATAAAGGAAGGAAATTCAGGGCTCATGCTTAAGGGCACTGAGTACCCATGATTCATCTTGTGTTTGATGGCAGCTGTTCAAGAAAAGGACAAAGCACACAAGTCTACGTACCGATCCAGGGTACTAAGGGACCGTAGGATGTCATACTCTTGGGATCTGTAAGATTCAACACAGGAGGAAAAAGCACAGGGTTAAGAGCTGAAGTATGGACATCATGAGAATGAAAATCTGGAGGTATTTCTGAGTTCACCCTCCTACTCGCAACAAAGGAGGTGCTATAATTAGAAGATAAGTGTGGCAGGAAAATACTCTGTGTGTGTGTGTGTGTGTGTGTCTTTGTCTCTAAAGCTACACCAGTAATATGAAGAGAAACTTTCTTTAATTACTGTAACAAAGTGTTCTTCTTTGCATATCACACTAATCATGTCAACATGGGGGAAGATAATATAAAGATGATATTAGAGAGAGAAGTGAAGAAGGATATTTCATGGTGGAGGAACATTTTCAGATCAAGACCTTGAGCCAAATCTCTGAAGGCAAATCCCAGGTCTCAGCTACCCCAGGGACCATTTTTGCACAGTGATCTACCAGGATAGCTTCACTCTTCTGGGATCTCTTAAATTGTGCAACAAAACGCAAGAAATTAGGGTAATCCAAGTTTAAACGCCATTTGGGGTATGCTCCAAATCTCCCCTTTCCCAAGGTTTCCCATCATAGGGGGAGCAAGATGTTGCATACAGCAGTGGATAACAGTTCATTGAGGGCAAGGATTATACTAGGTACTTGTACAGCATTTAGAACAATTAAAACCTGGCTTAATCAAGGAATCTAGGCACTACAGCAGTACAATCATCACCATCATGGCCATGTTGTGGGTTCAGTTCATGGATACAGGAGCCACTTTATTAAAGAGGTTTCTTTATTCATGCCAACAGCACCCTGGCAGCCTTGAAACTCCTTCTCCAGCTTTCTTTCAGCTCTGCCTATATGTAACTACATGCAACAGTGATATCCCGGAGGGGAGCCAAATGATAGCCTAACCCTCAAAGGTATACAATTCTCACAATCCTCATTAGTGCTTCTGAGACTACAGAAAAGAGAAGGAAAGGAGGCTTGAAATGTTCAGTAGGAGACCTTGTTATATTGACCCAAATATCTTTGGGAAATGTTTAGAAGCTATGGAGTGCAGAAAACCTTAGGACAGACAGCGAATGAGCTGGACAGACAGATTTCCTAAGAGTTCAAGAGGAGGTTAGATAGGCATCTAGCTGGGGTCATCTAGACCCTAACATCTACGAATCTATGAGTTTCGGTTGCTGTTTCAGGTTCTGGGTGAAGATATATCAGATTTGCCAATAATTATCTGGGAACCTAAGAATTCTGGAAAGGGTATAGAGGAGGCAGCAACAAAAGCTGAGAGAAGACCCATGCAGATAGGTCTCAGGAACATATCGCTAAGCATTTGGGGTGGGGAAGAACCAACTGGAAGAGCTTTCTGAAACAAGATGCAATACCCTTACCTCCTCGGCCAAACACGGCTTTGGCAAAATCAGGATGAGTGATGACCAAGACAGGCATGAACCCTCCAAACCATCTGGTGAAGGCAGGGGAGTATTTTTCAGACCAAGACAGCAACGTGTTTAATTCTTCTCTTTGACGGATCTGCAGTCACAGGTGAAAGAAAATGAGTTTAGAAGAAAATGAGGGGGGAAGGGATGAACTCTGGAGAGCCTCAAGCCATATCCATGAAATATGGGGAACGGGTTGAGTGCACTTGCAGGGAGGACATCCCCAGGGTGAGGGTGAAACAGTGAGCTGGCAAAAAGACAGCCTGCAGTGGTGAGTTGGAGCAGCCCCTGGACTCGTATCTGGTGATGCTATTCCAGCCATTCAAAGAGGGCATCAAGCTGGTCTAAATAACAACTTCTGGATTCTCCCAACACAAGTTTCCCCATAGCAAAGAGCTCCCATTTTCAGTCTCAAATGAGGATCAACCCAAAAGAAAATAGGATTGCAGCCTAAACATGCATCTACTGTATTGGCGAAAGGGGAGAAAATGAAAGCTGATAACATCCTTTCCTAAAAACAGCTTCCCCATGCCTCACACCTTCTTTACCTTATGGTTGTGGCCATACAGCCAGTGGCTGGGGGGTCCTGGGAAACTCTCATAGATTTTGATGAGCTCTTTTTTCTTCCAGTAGAGCTGGAGCACTTTCAGCAGCGTCAAGATGAGGCAAAACCCTGCAGACAGGGAGAGGGTGGAAAGGGAAAGCCTCACTATTTCCTCTAACACGTAGGCCATGATCCTGCATGTTCCACCAGGGACTGGTCTCCTGTTGTTGCCTTTCTTGTTTCTGGTGCGTCTGTCCGTCGGGCTTAGTCAAAAAAGTCCCTCCTCTGTCCTCCAAGAAGTGGAGCTGGAATACTGTGTTGCAGGGCAATCTGTGAAGGGTTAAGAGAACAGGGAGAGTGCTCAGTCTGGCAATACAAAACTTGAATTTGCATAGCAAAAAGGTTATTCAGACAACGAATTGCGTAAGAGGAAACCTCCCCTTTACAGAGGATTAGGGAGAGCGGTTGTGTAAATACAGGTTATTTTATAACTTTTTCCTGCTGTGTTTATCATTTCTTTCTCCTCTTCTACCCTGTGACCAGTCCAATAAATTGACCTCAATTCCCACATGCACACATTATTTTTACTTAAAATTAAGGAGCTGCATAACACTAGCGCCTAAATACGCCAGAAGGGAGCAGGGTCCTGTTCTACTTGTGCGTTACAGGTCATGACATTGTTAACAGAATTCCCTTTTTACCTAGTATCTCCAAAGAATTCAACCCAAAATTTATTAACCATTTTAACTCCACTTCAGGGCTTTAGACATAAGAGCCTAAACATGAGGGTATTTGGAACAAGGCTTTTAATTTTTGTCTTTTATGAAGAACTGGCTGCTGGTAAAATGCTGATCCTAATAAACCTTCAGACTTGTCTGTAGTCTTGATAGGTAAATGGAGGTGTGTGGAGTTTGCAGTGATGTGTGTATTTATCCAGTCCATCCAATTTAAGGCCAGAAGGCATGGCTCTAATCGTGTATTCCCATGTTGTCCTTGACCCAGACCATAGGGTTGAAATTACTCTTCCCTACCAAGTATAAGAACAGAACTGGGCCCAATACCTTCTGGTTAAACAGGGGTGAATATAAAAATGCTTAGAGCAACCTACAGAAGAGCAAGAATCTGCATGATGGCTTGTTGTAGCAAGTTGTACCTGTTTTCTAATGATTGCAACTTGCCGTTTCTATTTCCTCTTGCCTCAGGGCCTTGTTAGAAGAAAGTTTTGGGCAGCTCTTGGAGCTCTTAACCCCTGGATTGTCCATACGTTAACACCCCTAAGTAGCTTAAAGCACTCATTATGCAGCTCAAAGTTACGCCACTCCAGGGCAGGACTACCTGATCCTCACCGCCCAGTTCTTGTTCCACTAAGGTGTGGCCACTCCCCACACATGTGCTACATAAGCTGAAGCCCTCCAGTATCCCAGGATCCCTCACACACCCCCACACATAGAGCAGGGATAGAAGCCTGTCCTGGCTCACCAGGTCTCTAGCAGCAACTCACAGCCACAGCATCTAGCCCTGCCCCAGTTCACCAGGCCTCTAGGGGAAACTCACAGCTGTGCATGTGGGGAACAGCCAGAGAAGGTTTCTAGACAAAGGGTGGGGCTGCCCCAAACTCCAAGCTAGTACTAATACCGATCAACATTTGTACAGCTCGCAGCATTGGGTGTAACAAGGCCCCTGTGAGTCCCATCCCTACGAAAGGCTCTGCAAATAATCAAGATCCAGTGCAGTGTAAGCAGCCCATTTGCACCAGGGCTGAATTTGCCCCAAGGTACAAGGAGCTAGGAAATCTTAAAGAGGGTTTGTTGTCCACCTGGCATTTTTTTTTGTCTGTTTTATTTTTCTTT